TGCTTTATTAGGACGCATGCTACTCTACTTATAAGCTGTCAATATAGTTTATTTTTATTCTTTGTAATTTTCAGTCTATAGTTTTATATTTAATAGTGAAGTTTTCGTATGTTGAGGTAAATATTTTTATACTATAAATCTGCTAATGCAGGTCCTTTAAAATAAACAAGGGAATTGATTTTGATATTTTTCGGTAAGATTAGTTTTATCTGTCAGAAGCTACTTTTTAATCCCGGAAAATATACTCTACTTTCCACGATAAGTTACTATCGCTTTTAAAAAGACTGCTTCCCCTACATGCTGAGAGCTCGTCATAACGTCATCACGTTCGTCATATGTCAGAGATCAGGGCCTCAATTCTGCTATTTTATGTTAACGCCAAGCCACTGTCATTCCATTGATACGCTATTGAGCTTCCATTGAGACGCCATTAACATCGGTCAAAATATCAGTATTCTACTAACATAAATTCAGTGTCAATAGACTGTCGATATAGTAATATAGGTCATCAATGGTGATATCAACAATATTGCAATACCTGGAAAATTAAATATATTATTTTCTAACAAATTTAAAATGTACCGTTTACCAAACTATTACAAAAACATCGACGACATTTGTATCAGTGACAAGTCAGCGGGAGGCCATTGGTCTTACATCGTTAGTAGAATAAGAAAAGTGCAAAACTATTCCGACGACATTCCATCGACAGTCTATTGATATAATATTAAAATAGCAGAATTGAGGTCCAGTTTGACGTTCACTGGTAAGGACTTTCCAAATCATGATAGATCAAAATAGTCAATACTTGTAGCTCTCTTCAGCAATTTTTACTTATTATTTAAATGTTTAACGTATTGGGTAAAAACGAGAGCGTTTTTTTATTATTTAAAGTAAATCACAGAGTCACAAGCGCTTTGTAGGCCTTTATGGAAGGAGTACGCTCTTTTATTGAAGGTTTGTTATGTTTTCACGCCATAACTACTTAGCCGATTGTCTTGATGTTCCATACTCATTAAGTATAAGGACTACAGAAATGGTTATAATAAATCTTTCACACAGAGAAAAAACTGTACTGCTTTATTTCGAGGGATAGAAAAGCTACGGGAAAGACTAGTATTGGTTGTGGTGAGACATTTCGACATCCCTGTAGTGAGCAGAGTGGCGCAGTGGAAGCGTGCTGGGCCCATAACCCAGAGGTCCGTGGATCGAAACCACGCTCTGCTAATAATCAAACTTTTGTAAAAATAATGTTTAAAAAAAAAGGTTTTGCTCGCGTCTCTCGTCTGCGTACGATCCGTATAGTAGTTTGACTAGACAGTGATCTGCAACTTAAAAAACACTCTTGAAAAGAATGAGCTTAAATGATATAAAATAATTAGAATTGAAATAAAAAAATTAACGCAAGAACTATAAAACATACCTACATATTATTACTACAGATGTGTTTTTGACGACTTAAGTAAACGGGCAAGAAATGCTTTCGGCGCATTGACAATGCCAGTTGTCTCTACTGTAGACAAAATGGCGATAGTCGGCAACATACCTAAGAATGTCAGGCGCTATGGTGTAATATGGCAGATCTCTTAAGCTCTTCTTAAAGTAACTTCCTTGGGCCCTAGATATACACGTGTGTAAAACCATATACTTTCAATTATAGAAACGTAATTCACAAAAGTATAAATTTAGCGATTTGTTTTTAATATGTACATGTATTTTTTATTCGATTTCGATCAAGTCAGTTCTAAGAAAACTGAATCAAAATCATCATCATCATCAGCCTATCGCAGTCCACTGCTGGACATAGGCCTCTCCCATTGCACGTCACTTAGTCGGTTTTGGGCTTCTCGCATCCAGCTCCTGCCAGCCATCTTGCGCATATCGTCACTCTACCTGGCCTGTGGGCGTCCTACACTACGTTTGCCGAGACGCGGTCTCCACTCAAGAACTCGTTTTCCCCAACGGTTGTCGGTTCTGCGGCTAAAATGGCCAGCCCACTGCCACTTCAGCTTGCTGATTGTATGTATGGCTGTTATAAGGATGAATCAAAATCGATTCATCCTTGACTGGCCTGTTGGTCTAGTGGTTAGTGACCCTGACTGCTACTCCAGAAGTCGTGGGTTCGATTCCTACCCAGGACAAATAATTGTGTGATGAGCACGGTCATTTGTTCTGTGTCTGGGTGTAATTTATCTATAATATGTATGTATTTAAAAATATATATGTATGTCTATCAGCAGTCTGGTTACCATAGTACAGGCTCTGCCTAGTTTGGGATCAGGCGGCCGTGTGTGAGATGTGAAATGAAAATATTATTATTATTATTAGTTAAAAGAAATCGATTTAATTTTTGATACAACAAGTAGATACGTCTTTGTAATCCACTGAATGGGTACCATTACAATTAGCAAATTTTACAGGGTATGAACCCTGAGACAGTCACATGTAAATTATATAACCGAGTTCCCCTAATACTCTATAGAGTTTATAGTATAAAATGAAAGCTCTTTGAATAACCCATAATAAATGTCGGTAAAACAATGTATTGCCGCTTTTCAATCTCTCCGAGACACGTTGCGCTATGGACTCTACCAACAGGTTATAACGCTACCCTATTCATTTAGGGTTCAGTTCATGAATTAGAACGTTCCTTGAGGTTTCTTGTAAGGGTTAAAGGCACAAGCATAATAGACTATTCGGAGGATATTGTTTTAAGTTAAGTTATTGGAAGATCATTGTAGATGTTTCAATAAATAACCACAGTGTTGAATAATAGTTTATTGCTCGGATTGAAGCGGTCACTGTAGGCTATGGACGTGTAACACTTTGAATGTTAAGTGGTTATTGTATTGAAAATTATTTTTAACATTTTTTATTTTGAATTAGGTAGCTTGTGTCTGGAGTGGAGATAGTGGTTATAGAAACGTAGTGCCGGGTTTCCTGATGTTAGATATATATCCTAACTTGATATTGGTTCACGAAAATTTTACGGAACGTAAGTAAAATAATAATTACGGTATCAATCTCATACGTATCGCACACAGCCGATCTATAAACAAAGATACTTATTTATTTCTAAATACAGATAAGTTACACCCAGACACCGACGAAATAGTCACTCTCATCACACAACTATTTGTCCTGGGTGGGATTGAACCCAGCTCTAGGTTAGCAATCAGGACTAACCACTAGACCACCTGCCCGTTGAATCGAACTTTCTTTATTTCGAAGTCGATTAAAAATACGAGTAATATTTTCTGATTTAATTTATTTATTGTAAGCCTTTATTATAAGTTTAGTGCTTGAGGGATGAACATCCATTATCAACGTTTGCTATTATAATTTTAATATATCGCATATTTTATTCCTAAATATATAGGTACTACGTGTTAATCAAGGCCATGTGCTTTCATAAAGAAATATTCATCTTATGTCTTCTAGTTCTTATTTACGTAAAGTCATTTGACCTAATAATATGTCTTTCTACAATTGAACTGCTACTTACAAACTCACAACCAATTCAAATCTTACGACCCTCTTTAATCCATGTCAATCAATTACAAAAAAAAACTGTAAAAAGTTTCAAATCTCGAACTTATCAAAAGTGGCACACCCACTTCCTAAAAAATACCGCCACACGGCACACACACGAGCTCAAAAAAACCACACGTTTTTGCACCCTGTCTCTTCCTACGGAAGTACAGCAGGGGAACGAGATATAAATATTTAAACACGAGTCAGAGTGAGAAGGAAGTCGTGGGAACCACAGGGGTAGCGATATCCCATACAGTCATTGAAGTGGGACGTATATTGAATGTGTTGACCCTCGCTTCGGACATCTGGCCATAGACAAAGTTACCCGTACAGTGACACCTGTGCGATGTCTATCGTAATTTATGCGCCAAATGGCAAACTCGTTATGTGTAACATCACTTTAATTACACACCTGTATATTAAAAAAAAAACGTTTCATTGTTTAAAAATAATTTAATTTTTCTTTTCGTTCAAGCGATTTCTTATATTTACATGATATGTACATAGTTTTAGTGATGTCCATTAGTAATATACATTGTCGATGTTTTTTGTTTCATTTATTTTCTTTTTAAAATAATTAAGTATTTAAATCAAACGTACATATATGCAATTGTAGTAGCAAAGTTCACAACCTTTTCATGTTATTTTCTGCCATTCACTTAAAAGTAAGGTCCGTTTAAAACCCGTTACAATGACAATTTAAAGCTTAGTTTTTTGGTCCCAATATATACATCTAGTGACTATAGATAAACTTGTACAATATAATATATAACTATCACACAACTTAGATAATATTTGACATACAACAGTACAAGTCTTTATAATTTAGATTTATAATTAAACTCTGAGATCCTTTACAACAGTTTCTTTGAAATGAGGAAACTACATCGAGAAAAGAAAAAAGCGTAGATTCCTAGGTTTAAAATAAATTGTTTCGCCTACATCATAAAATATAACGTCTTAAATTACAACCAGAATTGTCGTTCATCATAAATTAATCTTTTTCTTGATTTGATATCTTGATATCAACATGACATATAAATGATTTGACAATAGCTAGGTATGACGTCACAAAACAGTATTTCATACAAATATGTACCGCGTCTAGCGTTTTGACGTTTAATAAAAGATACTGATTTGAATTGACAGTCATCTATCATGGTCGTATATTTGTTCTGCCGATATCATAAATCTTAATCAATTGGTATTTTTTTTATTATTAAACTTGAAATTATAACCTCAATAGTGATTCAAATGTTGCAGTTATATTAAAAAAAAATACAGCTAGACGACATATATGTAAAACCCAATTTTGCAACAATTCCGCAAAATAATAAACTCAGGTTTGAAAAGATGGCGCGCACGACCATAAATGTAATTTATTCTAACTATGGTGAAAACAATTTAATAAATCCATTTCTCGGTGTATTTTCCATTTCTAACAAGACAATAATTTTAGTAGTAATCTAATAGGCCAACTCAGCCCCCCACGGCCTATAGGGTTTTGAACTGTTTTGCGAGTACTGATGATGTGGAGGGTGATGAGGATATGGAGTAGGGTAATGAGGAGCGGGAGGTGCAGGGTGTGGTCCTGGCGGGCCAGGGGGTCCGGGTGGCACAGGTGGATAATGAGGGTAGCTAGGAGCAGCTGTAAGGGGGGCAGCGATTGCTGTAGGGGCAGCTATGCTCGTTGTAGTCGTGGTAATAGGCACATCTTGTCTTGGAGCTCCTAATTCAGTATACCCATGTTGAGGTTGAGGTACTGGAGCCGTAGGGTATTGAGGGTAGCCCCAGTTTGCAGATTTAGCAGCCAGCTCTCTCTGAGCCGCGAAGCATTGCAAATGGCTCATCAGTCGAAGTCTCAAAGGATCCTGAATGTCAAGACCTTCGCAGCTGACAAGGTATCTGGCGACTTCAGCAGCGCATTCCCGGAAGCCAATGCTGTGATAATCCATTGCGTATCTTTGAGGGTCGTAGGCGAATGTGTCCAAACCTAGAAAGATAGAAAAGAAGGTGAGTTTCTAAAATACAAGCAAGAACAGAACAGTTTTAAAGCTTATTATTACTGATTGAATTTTCTAAATCAGATAAGTAATTTCATGAATTAATTCATACATACAAACTTACAAGCTTAACCTAAAATTAAAACTTATTGTATTCTAATGTAATTGAATTTTTTTAATATCTAATAGCAATCAATCTTAAAATTAAATTATTAGTGCGAAAGTTTGGGTGAATGTTATTACTCAATGCCAGAACAGCTAAACGCATTTCGATGAAATTTGGCACAAAGATAACACACAAACTACTTTTTATCGTTGAACTTTTTTTAAATACATCTCCCCTACTAGGAATATATCCTGTGTCACACATAGTGTTGTCTCATGTGGCGATCGAAGCCATAACACTATGACCGCTTAAATAACTACACTATCCTTGCAATTGATTGCCAAAATCGACATCAACACTAGCGTAGTCGCGGGCATAGCTAGTCCAATTATATTTCAGTTGCATGACGTGTTTACGATAATTAGGTACCGTTTTATTATTTTATTTTTCATCAACAGCCATTACTAGTCCACTGCTGAACATAGGCCTCTCCTTAGAAAGGAGGGTTTGGCCTACTATACCACGCTGGCCAGACGGGTTGGTATAGGGTTTGGGGTGCTGGGCTAGAAAACCTCCTCGTGGTGCACCCTGGAAACGCTGGCGATGGTACTGTTCCCTCCTTGTCCTCTTGGAGGAGAGGATTATCGCCAGCGGCCAATATTCTAGCAGAAGAGGCAGCCGTTCATCGGCTCTCGGGCAAGGCCTGGTCCAGCAGGGTGGGCGTGTCTGCCGGTTGCCCTGCTGGCTCTTCGCTCTTCGGAGCATGGAGGAGGAAACCTCGGTAAAAAAACCTGATGGCGGGGCCCTGTAGGGGCCACAGTTTCTCCGCTGATAGCGGTGGAGAAAGGAGGACGGGCTCGGCGTGTACTCACACTACCACCGAGCAGGCAGGGGGACGTAGTCTCCCTGTCAACCGTCGGCATATCGTAATCCCGAGAAGAGCGCTGTGGTTAAGTCTCGCGGCTCTGATTGGGGACGAGGGTCTTGGCTTAACCGCCCGGACCGCGAGGAAGATAACCTCTCTAAAAAATTCCCCGAATCCCGTGTTCTGGTGCGTGGCCAGGGGATGCATGGCTGATGGGAAGTTCAGTCGCGAGCGCACTCCAAGCCGAGGTACCTGCGGACCCCTCGGTTGGGTTAAAAACTTACGCTTGCCCGGGTAATGGGGGATCTCTGCCCGGGTGGACCTTTAGTTCTCCCCCACTCGTGGGATTTATCATGGAAAACATTACCAAAAACCTAAAGAAAACGATCGGACAAACACAACGAAAACAGGCAAGCCTAACGGAAAAGGAAGCAAACCGAAGGAAGGAGAAACAGAACAGTGGAGCGGATGGGTCGTCCACTGAGGGTGAGGTGGCGTCGGGGACGCCTATCTCGATGGGGCTCCCAGAAGTCAGTCTGACTCTGGTCTCTGGGAGCCGAAGAGCATCGGATCGTATTCGTTCCGGATCCGCCGTCTCCTCGGATGGCGCGGAGGCCATGGAAGCGGAGCGAAGCGACAGCCGGAAACGCGGTCGCTCCAGGGAGGAGGGGACCGACACGTCCGGCGAAATGATGCCACCAAAAGTGGCAAGCAGCCGTCGAGGGAGGGCACGCAAACCGGCCTCGGTTTCGACCCCGTCAGGCTCCGCGTTCTCAAACGCGGAGTCCTACAGAAGCGTACGGGTGGACGGCGAGGCCGTAGCGGAGGAGGAGATCGCGGATCTCCTGCTCAAGGTTCGGGAGCCGGTGGGGGGAAATGCCCCCCAGGCTCCCGTGTCCGTGCAGGAGAGGGCGAAAGCGGCGGTGGCCGTCATCGACAAGGTGGCCACCAAATCCGTGAACCTTAAGGGCTCGTTTGTGAGGGCCCTTAAGGACTCCTCCTCCGCTTTGTCGGAGGTCGTGGAGGGCCTAGCGGGCGACGTCTCTCGCCTGCAGGTGGCCAACGAGAGGCTGACGGAGCGGGTGAACGAGCTGAGTGCTCAGTTCACCCGCTTCCAGGCGAACCTCCCCGAGCGGGAAGCCCCGTCCGCGTCCCAGCCTGCCCCTACCACCAACTCAGGGGCATTTGACTCCCAACTGCGAGAAATCCTCATCGCAGTTGGGAATATGCTGGACGGACGCCTGGCTGGCCTGGAGGCGAGACTGCCCCCTGCGCCGAGTATGCGCCCCCCGCTCGCGTCGGCACAGCGGCCTAAGGCCGCCGCTCCGACCGCGCTCCCCGTTGTGGGAGGCCGCGTTTCTTACGCGGCGGCGGCGTCTGCCCCTACTCCATCGGCTCCACAAAAGCCGAGGAGGGGGGCCAAGGCACCGGCCCAGGCGCCGGCCAAGGCACCGGCTAAGGTGCCGGCCAAGGCACATCTCCAGGCGCCGGCCAAGACGGGGCCTAAAACAGCGCCGAGGAGCGGAGTGGCATTCCCTCCGCTCCCCACTCCGACACCCCTGCCGGGCCCCTCCGCACCTGCCCCCTCCAACGAGGGTTGGCAGGAGGCGAGGGGCTCCAAGAAGTCCCGAAGGCGGGCCAAAAAGGCTGCCCAAAGAGCAGCCCAAGCCCTGCCTTCGCCACCGGTGGCAACGGCCTCTGCAAAGAGGCCGCGGAAGCTGCAGCCGCCCAAAACCGCGGCGGTAGTGGTGACCGTGTCCCCGGAGGCGGCTGACGGCGGGCTGTCCTATGCGGCCGTCTTCAAGAAGGCCCGGGACAGCCTCGCCAACGAGTTTGGGACGGTGGGGGTCAGGATGCGCCTCGCCCAGACGGGAGCTCGAGTTCTCGAGTTCCCTGGGGCCGAAGGCGCAAAGACGGCGGACTCCTTCGCTGAGAAGCTGCGGGGAATATTTGCAGCCACAGATGGTGTCAGGGTCGCCAGGCCTACCAAGTGCGCGGAACTGAGCATCTCGGGCCTGGACGACTCAGTGACGGCCGAAGATGTCCGCGCTGTAATCCGGGAGAAGACGGGGTGCAGCGCGGACAACGTCAGGGTCGGCACCATCCGCCCCGGTCCAGGAGGGCTTGGCGCCGTGTGGGTCAGCTGTCCCGTAGCGTCGGCCAAAGTATTGGCCGACGCCGGCAGGCTGCTCATCGGCTTCGTGAGCGCCAGGATCACAGTCCTGGCGGCGAGACCGATGAGATGCTACAAATGCCTAGCATCGGGACACACGCGCGTCAAGTGCGACAGTTGCTTTGACTGCGGCGGACTGTGTTTCCGCTGCGGTCAACCGGGGCATAAGGCGGCAGAATGCTCTGCCGCCCCTCACTGCCCAGTGTGTGCGGCGGGCAATAAGCCCGCCAATCACCAGATGGGGCAGAGAGGCTGCAAGCCTCCCCGCAGTTCTCGGCAGACGTCGGGGGTTAGCCAGTCGACCCAGGCTGCCTCCGATGTAGTTCGTGCGTCGACGTCGTCGCCCATGGAGGAGGTTGTAGAGACGATCCAGTAATGGATCAAGTCTCCAACCTCCTGGTCCAGACGAACCTGAACCACTGTGCCGCGGCGCAGGATCTCTTCCTGCAAACTATGGCACAGTGGTCGATAGGTGTTGCCGTAGTCGCGGAGCCCTATTCTGTCCCTCCCCGTCCAAACTGGATGGGTGACTGGGACGGCTCCGTGGCAGTCGTCGGTTCCACGACGGCTCATTCCCCGCCCTTGTCGCTAAGAGACAAGGGCACTGGATATGTTGCCGTCGAGTGGGGGGGGATCATCATATATGGTGTCTATTTCTCCCCCAACCGGAGTTTGAACGACTTCGAGGTTTTCCTAACCAGCTTGGAGACCTCGATACGGCGACTAGCGTCTGGGCACGTCCTTGTGCTGGGGGACTTCAACGCAAAGTCCACTGCGTGGGGTTCCCCCAGGACGGACGCCAGGGGCGAGGCCGTAGAGGAGTGGGCGGCCTCGGTGGGCCTCTGTCTTCTAAACAGAGGCTCCACCAACACGTGCGTGCGACAGCAGGGGGGGTCGATAGTGGACCTTTCGTTCGCTACCCCTGTCCTCGCCGCACGAGTAAGGAACTGGTGTGTCCTGGAAGAGGTTGAGACGCTCTCGGATCACCTGTATATCCGATTTGAGCTCTCCCGGACCCAGGACTCCAGTAGGGGTCACGTGGCGCGGCGTTTATCCCGCTTTCCGCGGTGGGCTGTTGCCAGGCTGAACCGGGACCTACTAGAGGAGGCAGCCATAATTCACTCGTGGCTGTCTCCTCAGGCTCCGACCGAGGAGGTCGACGTGGGGGCTGGCCGCTTTCGCGATGCGATTACGCATGTATGCGATGCGGCCATGCCCCGCGTTCGAGGTCGTCGGCCTCCAAGGAAGGAGGTCTACTGGTGGTCCCAGGAGCTGGCGGACCTCCGTGCGGCCTGTACACGTGCCCGGAGGTCCTACACGCGCAGTCGGCGGCGTCACCGTGGAGACGGTGAGGAGGACCGGCTTCATGAGGAGTACCGACGGGCGCGGAAAACTCTGAAGCTGGCCATTAGCCGCGCCAAAGAGGAAAAAAGACAGGAGATGCTGGAGGGTCTTAATCGTGACCCCTGGGGTCGCCCTTACCGCGCGGTGCGACAAAAGCTCCGCGCGTCGGGCCCCCCCCTTACGGAGACTCTCCAGCCCAGCTTCCTGCGAGAAGTGGTTGAGGGCCTTTTCCCACAACGGGCGGAACACACTCCCCCGTCGATGGCCTCCCTGGCCGGAGACGACGGGGAGCACGGGGAGGACAATGTTCCGCCCGTCCGGGAATCGGAGGTAGGGGCGGCTGTTCTACGGATCCGTTCCAAGAACACCGCCCCTGGGCCAGACGGGGTACCGGCCCGAGTGCTGGCCCTGGCCCTCAACCACATGGCAGACCGCCTCGGGGAGGTGTTCGACGCTAGCTTGGCGTCGGGACGCTTCCCTGAGTGCTGGAAGAGCGGGAAGC